ATAGAAATAAATTGGTTACGATTTTTTTTCAACAAAAATTTGATTTGTTTCTATTAGTTATAATTAGTTACAATTATAAACAAAAAGTAGTTTTTTTTTAATAATAATATGATTAATTTGTAAGGGGGTCCTATTGTTAGGACCTTTTTTTACATAATATTTTTTAAATGAGATCTCGAGTTTCGGCGAAGGTGTATTCTAGAGTTGTTAAGAGTGTTTCTAAATAAGTTTTTCAATCAAATTATCAAATTATAGAAATCTATCAGATAGTAATTGCGACTCATAATTTTTGTTTTATCTATACATTATGAGTATATCCTAAAAATCCTTAACAAAATTATGATTATTTAAATAAATTTTAATTATAAACTAAATATGTTTGTGTATTATACTATACATATTTATTTAGTTCTTGTTAATAATTTCTTTCAGAAGATTACATTAAAGCGACTCACATTTACACGTTTGTGAGTAACATTTATAGCAATTAAGAGTATCATAATTTCTTAATTTGGTGTTATGTACACATAAATCTGTGTTGTTAAGGTTCAGTTAATAAAACCCCTTAATTTATGCGTAGGAAATAACTTTAATGATAGATAAAAATCAAGTTGTTTAAAGAAAAATCTTTCATATTCTAGCCAAATGAATTTTTTGTTAATGTAAGTTTAAACAACGTATATTTTTTAATGGACAATCATTTGTGGGTTTTCGTAGCGCTTTTTTTATAGCGACTTATGTTTCTTATCGGTCGTGCTCCTATTCCAAAACGTTACGGTCGTTTTACATTTGCTAATAGGCCCATCGTTATTTTTATATATGAACCTTTTATTCTGTCTCAAGATTGGCCAGGTTGTTTGATTCGTGCACGTGTATAATGACCAGTTTACAAGCTTGTTTTATTACAGTCGATTCGACTAAAACGTCCATCTGAATAATATTCAACTATTCGTTGTAATTGAGCAACACAATATGATATTTTTCGTGAGGGCTTTTTGATTACTTTTTAAAAAATATTTTCAGTATAATACCCAACAAGGCGATAAATCATAGTTCAGTTTAAAACGACCCTATGCCGTCACTGTTTGCGTACAATTAAAAGTTTATAATTTCATATTTTTTGATATTCGGATGTTTTTGAAATACTAACTTTAATTATGTTCGTGTCTAACAATTAATGATGCACAAAAATCATGGTAATGAATTACAGAAAAAACAAATTATCGTAATGCAGCATTAGCTAAACTAACAGTGCTCGGAGAGAGCGGACCGTTGGCCAGCAAATTAATTTTGTTGTTATTAACACAAGCGGTCAGCTGTTGTTATGTTAAGCGCTCTGATAGTACACTTGTGTGTCGTCATGTAAATTTATTTTATTGTATAGAACATGCAACTTAATGTATTTCGTAGCACAACACGTATGCGTTTTCTGCTTGTAAATTTTAGTTTTACAAAAGAGTGCACATTGACTGTCATCGCCATCAAGAGATTTCTATATTAATCAGTCACCACCCGTCGTATTAGCGAAGGATTTCAGTCAAAGTTTTTGTCGTTGACCGTTCAATGCAGCGCGTGACTCAACTGCACGTGTCTTTTTGTTTTAAACAATTTAAAGAATAAAGGAAAAATTGATTATAATTTACTTGCAATGTCTTTTTAATTCGCTCAATCGCCAAATGATGTCACCATTTCTACCTATCTATAATTTCAGGAAGCTCTAGAACAATAGAAGTATTATAACAAAAATGGGTTCTCGAAACCTTACAACATAACATAATAAGTGTACTTACAACAAACGATTGACTCACGGTATCTTTATATGTCTGATTTATTAATTTTTAATTAAAAAATAACGTCGCTTTTTCATCGATGACTATAGTTCCTATAAAATTTAGATATTATAGAAATATTCATAGTATCTATTAGTCAAAGGCAGTTTCTTTATTAATTTTATTAACTTAATTAGCTGTATGAATTTCATTGACCAGATTTTTGTGGAGTAGCTTTTTAAACCGTTACGTGTATTGTATTGCAAAATCATCGAAATTTTGTACGGTTAATTAAAATCATATTGTGTTAAATCATATACTTTTAGTACTTATAATTAGTCAACGCATTAGACATATTTGCCAACACAATCATCGATTCTTATTTTGTGTTATCGAATAATAAATAGTTTATATCGAGTTCACCTAAGAACAACATCACCAGAATAGAAATTTACCATTCATCAATTATTGTTTTCGTGTTTTTTTATGTATACAGATTGAATTTCAATTCTTAATATAAATTCGTGTGTTTATTTTAAAGTATTTTAATTATTAAATGTTAGCTATTTTTGTACTTAGCGTTTGTAACTAGGCCTATAATATATATACTATGATTATAACTGTAATTAATAATTTTATTTTCATTTAATATTTAATATTGGTAAATTCTTAATATAAATTTATTATAGCTATTATTAAATGAGGTGTCTTTTATTCATACTTTATAATATTACAAATAAAACCCTTTATTTTCTAAGTTAAATGTGTTACCTAACTAAATTCACTCTCCTAATTAGTGTAGGTGCACTCTTCATATTCGATGTTTTCGTGTTTTTGACTAAACGATTAATACAGTCCACTTTCTTATCCAAACCAGCAATATTTAAGTATAGGGGAGAATCTGTGGCCCCCGTCCTTTCATTATATTTTAGTGAAGTTTTAAATTATAGAAATTGTAAAATTATTAATTTGTAAAATTTAACATATTTGTATTGAAGCGTTTTTTATGATAATGATGTTAATTTCTGTCAGATATCATTTTCAGATATCTAATTTCCATCTCTATTATGTCGCAACCCCATTTTGCTAATGTTCACGATTAATAAATAAATTATTAATGTAATTATTTTTACATTTTAGTAGGTCTAGTTATACATAAAAGTGTTAAATAACTTTTTTATTTAAAATTTATTTAAAGAAAATAGACTATTCAAATCATCACAAATATTACTCATTACGTTGATGATTCATAAGGAAATGTCATTCATTTCAATATTATTCTTATTATTTTGTTTGAAAAAACTTCGTGTGCGACATGTAGTTAAAAAAATTATAATTACGCGACTTATCACCCGTTGAGGATTTGAAAACAAAAGAGTATATGATATATGCCGCAGGCGCCTTAGCAAGAATAGAGAATTTATACAAATTCAATGAGTCATTATTGTGATATGATATGATGCACTATAAATACAAGATAACTATAACAGTATTATTATTTATTGTCTAAGTATGAATGTTTTATTCTTTTCTTAAATTTAATCACAAAATTATGAAATCCAAAGAATATAAGTTAACTCTTGATACTAGTAGAAAACTTATTACAAAACCTAGCGCTAGAAATTAGTGTAGCAATAACATGTTTAAAGGTTATAAATTAAACTTTATTTTAATGATTTAAAATCATTATTATAAGTATAGTAACATTTTACTATAATTATTAAAAGACAAAATATTGACAAGATTCTAGGACGCGTATTTCTATATTTTTCTCATGTAGACATCTAAACGTTTGTGTCCTTTCATAGGGTGGCTGGGAGAAGTCCTTGTCTCCATAACCTCCGTCAGACCATAAGTTTTTTTGTATTATTAGAAAAAAAAATTAATTTTTATTTCATAAACTTTTAATAAGTAATCAAAAATAGTATCCGAGGCTTAAACTAATAGTATTTTTTTATAATAGTTAAAATATATTATTCAACAAAAACAATAAATAATAAAACATATTTAATTAGTAATGAATTACTTTAAATAAAATTGAATTACGTCGGTAAATGTTGCCTTCGCAAATGAGTCTATTAAACCTTCACAATTTAATTTGTTTATCATGACATTCTCTATCGAGAGCAGTGCTTTCCGAGCACTGCTGAATTGTTTAACTTTTCATCATTTTATGTAAAACTCATAAAGTTTTTTATGCATTTGATGTTTGAAAACCATCTCAATAATATAATACAATTAGACACTGGTATTGACACGAAAATTCTTATTGCTATGATAATGATTGCAAATATTTCTATATGCAATCATTTTTCTCTCGAATATTTGTATATCGTTATTGAGATAAACTAGTTTTGTTCATATTGCAATTTAATAAATAAGATTACAAGTGTACACAATCTGACGAAAGAATTACAAAGTCATCCGAGTATTTTTTCGTAATTTTTTTTGTAGTCTTTACTGGGTAATTTAAAATTACCTCGTCTTTTTCTACTAGATTAATAAGGAATGCATATATTTGAGAAACTTTATTATAAATATAATAATTTTCAATAATGGACACTGTATATCAGTGTTTCCCAATCGGTGGTCCCATAGATTTTTTCTTCGATTTTTCACAAAAATCACATTAAGTAAATTATTTTGTATAGTAAAGTATAATTATATATTAGTTAAGTATAGTAATAAAATGTAAAGTAAAGTAATAAAAATTAACATTTTTTGATAAATTTTGTGTATTCTTGTTAATGAGCAAAAAAAGGTCTTCCTAGTTTTTGTAAAATTGAAGGGGTCCGCGACCTATAAAATATTGCCGAAGTGGTCCGTGGTGGTAAAAAGGTTGGGAAACACTGCTGTATATGATAAGTATCTCCAATACGTAATTACTATAATCAATAAAAAATAAAGTGCTGCTGTAAAGAGCCTAAACTGCCTTTATATAAATAAACCCCAGGAAGAAGGATGGATACAACCATTCTGTTAGGTAGCCTTTCATAAAATACGTTGAATATTATTATTGTTTTGATTGCGGGCGTTATTTTATGAAGTATTTTTTATATCTTAATAACAACTCCACTTTAAAAATTAAAGGAGATTCGTGGTTACTAAAAATATTTATTTTTCGTTTATTATTATTGATTTTTAGTATGAGTGTGAGCTGTATTTAGCCTAAAATTATAACCTTGTTGAATGATATTGGAACTCATTTATCTATGTTTTATTTTTTTTTAGACTGGCCATATTCGAACTTCTTCTAATAATTACTTCATCGAGCCTGCGGAAATAGCTAGTGACCATTTAACTCCCGTTCTACATGTGTTTTACCGGGCACGCTCAACAGCTTTTGTTCCTGCGAGTAATAGTTTACCTAGCGATAGACTAGAGCAACAGATACATCATTTTGATCAACATTGTGGCTTACAAGGTTGTATAAAATTTGATTCTATTTAGAATCCAATTAGAGATATTTTTTAAAGACATTTCCTTCTACTCTTATATTTAGTTCATTATATACTTATTACACCAATGTATTCACAATATAATACTGTCTATCTATTGTTATGGCCATGTATTGGATTTGTATCGTAAATCCTCATGGAAACATTTAGACGTTTAAATACTTATGTATTCATTGTGTTTATTGTATGCTAAGTCGAGACATATTTTCCACTGTAGATATCACAATAAGTGTGTAGATAATAATCAATACTTGTGTGCTATCGAATGTTTGTAACAATGAGGTTGATCCATTTAAAATGTATTCAATATTATATTATTCACATTTAAAGTCCATTAGTAAGGGATTTATTTTATAGTTGAAGACTGTTGATTTATATTTTAATTTAAAACAAATAAAAATGTTCTAAATAATACTTACGAATGCTGTAATAACAAATAAATATTGTCAACTATAAATCATATAATTTAGATTGAACTACTTATTTATTATTTTTTAATAATGTCATTTTTGTTTTGTTCTTAGATAATGAAGTTACTAGTGAATCGGATACATTAGTTGATGATTTACTTGTATCAGAATCTTCCAGTTTCATACCAAGTACCTCTGAAATTCCTCATACGCCAAAATTTCGAAGGAAACGATCTCTTTCATCTGAACATATTGTCGAATTGATGGTTGTAGCCGATAAAAAAATGTCTGAATATCATGGACATGAGCTTAACAACTATATTCTTACATTAATGTCAATAGTATGATATTTATTTTCTCAATCTGCTTGTGACGTAAAAAAAAAAAATCATTTGAAGTTCTACAAAGTTTTGATATTTTGTTTTTTAATAAAATGTGTTGAATTTATTAAAAAAAAAAAATTTATCCTCTTCTCCTACAACATTAATTAATTTAACGTAAATAAAGGAACCTTTGTAGGAAATCGCTCATATTAATTATCTCATTATTAAACGAAAATTAATAAATGAATGATGTGTTAAAATTTATTTTTATGATTTACCTGTATTGAATTGCAGGTTTCAAAAATATATAAAGATAAAAGTATAGGAAATCCAATGCATATAGCTGTGGTAAAACTAGTTATTTTAAGAGATAACTTAGTTGAGAGCCGCAACCGTTTGGGAGGTATAGCTGCTGCTGATATGTTACATAGATTTTGTGAATGGCAAGCATATCATAACGATGAAAACGATTCTAGTAACAATCACCATGATACGGCGTTATTGTTGACTCGGTAAGTTAACGAGATATCAAATTATTCGGTTCATTCACAATCTCTATGAATAGTATTTTGTACGCACAATGTACATTCTTATCAATTACTTATCTTTGACAAGTGGAGTAAATTTAGTTTTTTATAAATCATAATACATAGTAAAAAGCAGGATTGATCCTGAACAAGTTATGCTAAAAAGTTAAGTTGAGTTAAACTTTTTAGCTTATTGATATATTTAGATTTTTAATTTTTTCATACAGTTGCCTTCCATGGCAAATGGAAGGTTCGCCAATGTCTCAATTCTAAAAAATTATTCAATAGAAATAAACTAATACATTATTTTTGAATAGCTCATAATAGAAATAGTTTTTTTAAAACTACATAATCTCAAGATAAAATAGAAATTATTTATTTCAATAACTTTTAATATGTGTGTCATATTGCAAATTTGACCACATATTCTCAAAAAAATTAATTTTCAGCTTAATTCTCAAAAAATTCAAATTATCGAAATTAACGGTTTCGCCATAGAAACGATTACAAAACGCGGTTTACACTATGTTTTATAAAAATAAATACGTTATTGTAAAATAAAATTATGCCATAATTTTTTTTATATTTGAAAAATTATATACGAGTATTTTGTTGTACAAAAAAAATTAAAAAAAATTTTTTATCAAATTATGAATATGATATTTTTGCAGTCCTACTAGCACTTGTATTAATTTAAGATTGTGGTCCTAATTGTTAATTGACTTTCCAATTTCTAAAGTCATTGGTTCAAATCCAGTATTTTGTTTCGTTTTTTAAACAACTTTCGTTCTCCTTTATGGCCGTTTATCAATCCTCGTTAGCCATATTAAAACGTGCCTATATAACTCGATGCAGCTATAAGAATATTGTGTAGTTATAAGATGTTAGTGCTTTCTTGGATTTGATCAAACGAGATGCCTTTGAAACCGGTTATTTGTTTATGCGTGGGTAATAATAATCTTTGCACTTTTTATTTGTTATTCAATTTCACTTGTTCACAGCGTTTATCAATGAATTCGTCTATATCGTAAAAAAAAACAATTGTCATACAAGTGATATATACCTATATAAAATTAGGAATATTAAATAAAAACTAAAAATATTTAGCTCAAAAAGCCACAGCAATAAATTTAATAATTGTAACAATTAAAAGTCGCGGATACATATTTCGGAAAATTATTATCATAGGTGTTATTAAAATAATGCCAAAATTTAAAAAAATTCTATCTAGCCCTTTTAAAATGTCCGAAAACTATATAAAATAGGCGCCTATTTTTCTTTTGTTTCTCGTGATAGTCAATGGACTAGCTACATCCCTAATTGGGATCTTGATCCACTGAAAAATTCATTATTAAAATTGTGTAAAATCGCAAATTGTGGCAATTTACTAGGTGATAACATCAATTAGTGATAACACTATTAGGTAATAGAGCCTCTATAGGTTTATAAGGGAGTATTTTTAGGTCGGGGAGTCAGTCAGTGTGTGTTTAGCGTTGATAATTGTAGCGTTCTTCTCAAAATATGTATCCGCGATTTTTTTTTGTAATTTTTGTGACTTTTAAGTTAAATATTTGTTTAGTTTTTGATTAATATTTAAATTATATTTTTAATTTATATTAATATTACACAAAAGTGATCAATTTATATTATATATACCTATGCATTTTTTATATTAATTTATTATAAATACTTAGTGTAAACTTTTTTAATGATATAATACCAATGGTATAGGTTCGTATTAGTAAAATATTTTATATTTCTTTTAATGATGAATTTACTTGAAGATTATTCAAAATTCACGCATTAATTTGTAATTTTTCAAATTGATAGAGAACATGTTTGCCGTAATCACAATCTAAAAAAATGTGACAATACATTAGGTTTGGCTCAATTAGGGACAATGTGTAAAATTAATAGTTGCGCTATCGTCCAGGACAACGGTTTGAGTGCTGCGTTCACTATTGCTCACGAGCTTGGACATGTGTAAGAAAAATGTTTAATAAATTTATTCATTTTTGAACATTTATTTCAATATTTTACTTAGATTGAGCATGCATCATGATGATGACGCCAAGTGTAAAGAATATGGACAACTAGATAGCGTGCAACATGTCATGTCTAGAATGTTAGGTCACAATTCACATCCTTGGACTTGGTCTGCTTGCAGCAGACATTTTTTAACGGAATTTTTAGAGTAAGAATCTCTTGATTGTAATTCTGAATTATGCGTGATTTCTATTAAAATAAATAAAAGACTATAATTTGTAAATGGAAATATTTGATTAGTGCTGGAAATGGTAAGTGTCTACAAGACGATGCGACAAATGATTACTTGGAAAACGATAGAAATCAAAACGAAAAATATTTACCTGGTGAAAATTACACAGAAGATAAGCAATGTGAATTAATATATGGGCCAGGATCAAAAATATGTTCATATATGGTTTGTTTTTTAATAGTTTTATTCTGGATATTATTTAAGAAAATTTTGACAATATTAACAGCCAGTTTGTCAACGGTTATGGTGTACAACGGGATCAGACGAAAAAGATGGTTGTAGGACACAACATATGCCTTGGGCAGAAGGAACACAATGTTGGAATAGCAGAAACTGGTGTCAACAGGGAAAATGTGTAACAAAAGATCGAAATGCTCTTAAACCTGTTAATGGTGGATGGGGACCATGGCAACCGTAAATATTGATTTAGATTAGAAAAAAATTAATTTCCCAATAGTTTTATGAATTATATGATTTATTTAACATAAACTATTCAATTATTTACAAAAAATAAAAATAAAATTGAGAATTTTTCGGTAACCTATTATTTTTGATGTATTAACCTAATATTTTTTCGGTTTAAGGATTTCATTTGTATAATGTGTCGATTTTTATTTTTAAATGGCATCTCAAATGTATTTAATAGCTTATTATCAACGTTTATTGAGCAGGTAGTTACTATTATTTGGAAATATATATAGGGGGTGAGGCGTGGATTATAATTAATATTATCATTTAGTATTTTTTCGTACGCTTTCTCAATCAAATATTAAAATTATGTATAACTTCTATTTCATTTCTAAATTAATTGTCAATTTAAAGGTCATTTTTTTAATTGTATAATTTTATATTGCATAAAATATTTAATAACGTGTAAAGTAATTACCGTTTAAACATAAAGTTGATACACTTATACCCTAATAAAGAATAAGGAATGTACCTAAAAACTACTTTATTATTAATCGATAGGTTTAACTAAAATAACCCAAATAACATTTTCAATATTTTTTATTTTATGAGTAATTGATTGGTTCACAGTAAATGAATCGCCTTTTATAGTCTAAGTGAATTTTGAAATGTCATTTTGGAAATGGAATTTTTTAAGTTATATTTATTAGTCAATAATTGAAAAATTGAATTTTAAATTAGTTTTATTTAATTAAGATATGGTGAGTGTACGAGAACTTGTGGTGGCGGAGTGAAAAAAAGTTACAGAGATTGCAATAACCCACCACCGTCTAACGGAGGAAAGTATTGTATTGGTAAAAGAGTTCAGATTGGTAGTTGTAATACAAAAGATTGTCCACCAGATACACCTGATTTTCGGTAATATTTTTGTTTGATTTAGCATCATTGTTCTTCAAACTTTAACTTTGATCTAATACTCAGAGGTGAACAATGTGCAAAATTCAATAACAATTCATTCAACATTCCAGAACTAAAAACTGATATACAGTGGTTGCCAAAATATGGAGGAGGTGACTGCATTATATTTTATTGTTAAATAATTGTCGACGATAATGATTATTTTAAATTAATAATTTAGATGGTGATGAACGTTGTAAACTCTACTGCCGAGTCTCATCTTCAGCAACATATTACCAATTAAAAGATAAAGTGGTAGATGGAACCCCTTGCTCACCAGACAGTTACGATATATGTGTTAATGGGAGGTGTGAAAAAGCTGGTTGCGATCATGTTTTGGGTTCCACTAGTCAATTGGATTTATGTGGTATATGTGGTGGAAACAATTCCAGCTGTAAACAAATTTCTGGTTTTCATAATATTTCAAAGCAAGGGTACTCTGAAGTCCTTCAAGTACCAGCTGGATCCTCCAACCTAGATATTCGACAACATGGATACCATGGTTCTAGTAAAGACGATAATTATTTGGCTTTAGTTGATAGTACTACTGGCGAGTACATACTTAATGGCAACTATGTTTTGAGCATGTTCAGCAAAATTATAGTGTATGGTGGTACATTTATAGAGTATAGTGGTTCTGATGCGCCTGTCGAACGTATTAACTCATCTAAACCATTGAATAAAGATATAACTGTAGAAGTAAGTTATAGGATATTAATATAAAAATTAACTCGTGATTGTTTTAAATATGATTCAAAGAATATCTTTAAGAATATAAATTATAAAGCATAATTTAATAATTATTAAAAAAAAAAATGATTTTTTCTATTCAGAAATTATAGAATCCTATGTTATTATAATTTAAAAAAAAATTGGTCCTTTCTCCTTCACGATAAATTAGTGTCCACTTTAGAAATTGAAAGAAAAAATATATTTTTAATCTGGTAGCCAATAAGAAAATAATTGGTCAACAACATCTTTTGAACCAGTATTTTGAAAAATATTAGCACTTTTGTTCTGGATGAAAGAAGTAATAATTGTTACATAGCCGTAAATCGTAAAAATTAAAAAAATTAATTACGCCTATGGAGTGTGGCTTATAAATTGCTTGAGATAAAAATAAAGTGTTAATAACTTCCATGTTCTGGATCAAAAGTTGTTCACTACCGATCTTTTACTTAGATCATTTTCTTATATTGAAGCTAATTAATCATGTTTCTAAATATACATATTATAAATATACATGGTACATATTGCTATAATTTTAAATTGTGTATTCTATACATATAAAAAATACTAACTTCTGAAAAAAAATGATATAGTATTTTATAGTTTTAAAAACAAAATGTGAGCAGTGTTTAAAAATTATATTTATTGAATTATTTGATTAAGAATTTATATACAAAAATATTTTAATAATTCCCTGATGATTTGTATTTATCATACAAATAAATATCATTTATGATTTAATTTCTTAATAATATTTACTGCAAACTGCAATCATGGATATATCCTCAAGCACTTCAAGCAATCAAGCAATATTTACTCTCATAAATTAGTCAATGTATCAGGGTTCTAATAAAACAGTATAATCGTTTTTATTTTAAGTATTTTTCTTTTATCAAACTAAAAAAAAGAATGATTAATTTATTAAAATTAAAAATTTCTGTGTTTATTTTAATTGGTATATTTTTAAGGTATTGTCAATGGGAAAGCTATACGCTCCAGATATAGTTTATCAATATACTGTAATGCGAGAAGAACGTGATCTTTACACATGGGCACTAACTAACGAATGGGGGCCTTGTGATCAAATTTGCAATGGTAATAATTATATGGTGATAAAGTTTATCAATAATAATAATATTATTGTTAAAATTTTAATGATATTATTTGAAAATAAATTTAAGAATTAAAAATAAAATTTATGTATTTAATTATTTTTTTTAAAACCGGAATTTTTATAATCTATACTAATTTTTACAATAAGTAACTTAGTTAACTAATTTTAAATATAGAATTTAAGTCATGAATGCTTGATTAGGAAGTGTTACATCTGATACATCTTAATAATAATAAAAAAATTCTATAATTTTGTTTTAACTTTAGGGGAGCAATTAAGGGTATATGTGTGCATAAGAAAAGCAACTGGTGAAGAAGCTCAAGGTTATTGTAGTGATCGGGATGTGCCTCGTCCACATAAACAGTCTTGCAACACTCATTGTTTACTCAAGTATACATTTAATACATTTTTATTTAATTTAAATTCTTTGTTTCACACTAGTGTGTCTATAAATTTTTCTTATAATATGAGGTTGCTGATATACGCGTATTAAAGTTTTTTTACTTCCTTCACCAAATCATATCACGGATTAATTAATTTTAGAATTTGAACCTAGATAGTTTATTGAATATGAATAATTTGTATTTCAATTTTCAATCTCATGTGCATTATAAATTTAATTCTAATAATTAAAAATTTCATTTCATTTAATAATAGATATAATATGTAAAATTTAGTTATTTAAGGTTTTACATGTTGATAGATGGAAAATAATTGGTCAATCTGAATGTTCCGTAGAATGTGGTTTAGGTACACGTACTCAAAGCTCAGTTTGTATACAAGAAATTCACAAACGCTCTTCAACTCAAATGCCTGATACTATGTGTTCACATTTAATACAACCTTCTAGTAGTATTCCCTGTACAGGTCTTTGTTTAGAAACTCATTGGAAATATAAAGAGTGGTCTACTGTTAGTGTTATTGGTAATCTTCCAAACATATATCTGTAGTTATTTTTTTATTTACAGTGTTCCAAATCGTGTGGAACTGGTGTGCAATATAGAGAAGCATTTTGTGTAAACAACAACGGTGACTTAAAAGAAGAGATTTCGTGTAATGCTGATGAAAAAATTATTTCTCGATCATGTAATACTGAAAAATGTCCTGAGTGGTCCATGGGAGATTGGTCTTCGGTAGATTGATGAATAGATTTTTAATTAGTTTGTTTGATGTATTAAAAATTTTTAAATTATTTAGTGTTCAGCTACATGTGGTGAAGGTTTAAAAGAACGCTCTGTATGGTGTACTGATAACACTAAAGTGTTGCCGCCTGCGTATTGCGATACAAATACACAACCTGTTCAAAAGGAACCATGTAAAACGACTATTTGTCCAGCATGGTTAATTGGCCAGTGGTCCCCAGTAAGTGTATATAATAGTTAGATTATAATTAAGAAATCCTGAAAACCGCATCGACCCGAAACTGATTTCTAAAACCGAAACCAATCATGTTTTTTTATCGGCTTAAATGTTTAACCGAATTCCATCGTTATATAAAACCGATACTGAAACTTTAATCAAACAATTTCAATCCCACATAAAATTTATTGATTCCAACAATTTTATAAAAACTGATGGTAACTAATTTTTTCGGTTTTAACTGAAATCAAAATTTTAACTGCATACGACCCTAAACTAGTTTGTACACCGAAACCAGTCATTATTTAAATCCATAATTTGATTATTTAATTTAACTATAGTTAAATTTATAAATTAACATTTAACAAAATATAAAAATATATTTAACTACATATTTTATAAAAAGTTTATCTACATTTTAACTTTGGTGCGAAGCTAAGAAGGTATTCATTTTACTATGATGTGTTTTATTATTATTATTACTATTTTTTTTTGTGTCTATTACCACTTTTTCTTAGCTCTCATCAAACCGATTTTTTTCAACGACACGTTAAAATATCACAAATCGTATCTAGTCGAAGACATTACCCTCAAAAATTAAAAAAAAATCCCTAGTTCCCCATAAATAGGGGAAATTCCCCAAAAAATTACAAATTTAAAAATTGGTAATGTATATATTACTATATATCATAATATATTTAATTGCTATAGTAAATATTTATTCATATATTGCACTTATAAATCTTGAAACTTATTATCAGGATATAAATAAGGAAATAGGAGATCATGTTGCTTTTGAAATAATCCACCAATGTTTTAACATTAATCACTATCAACAAATTTGCATCGAATCGTTTTTTATGATAGTGATTTTAATCTCTGTCAGATTAAATCTATATTGGACCCAACTTTGCCACGTCCCCACTGTGCTGAGTTTTTTATTTTTTTGAGAGAGAATAATTTTGACAACAGTCAAGTGTATAGCTGGAGGTATATTTGTTCAATAGAATTTAATAAAATGTTAAATCAAGAATAATCTTATTATATAATAGAATAAGGAAAAAAATAATTTTCTAAGATAATTATTTAGCGTGCTTGGATTTTTAAAATTTGTTGAATTATTTATACAATTTATACAAAAAAATACTATAACTATCGAGCTATTATTATATTAATAAAATGAAGGATAACAAATAAATAATTAATGTAGTATAGCTATGGTTAAAAATAAAGGTATTTTTAGTGTTCTGTAACTTGTGGAAAAGGCATAGTTCGTCGGATTGTAAAGTGTAATGTGCCTGAAGATACGGCTTTCGCCTTCATTCCCAAACCTGCAGAAGAAGAAGAATGTATGCTGTACTTATGCCCAGTTGCAACTACAACATCGGTGTATGACGAGAGACATGAAAATGAAATATTTGAAAATCCCGAGGAACACGAATCTAATTCCATACAAATAAGTAGTAAACTATACACATGGAAAGCTGAACATTGGTCCAACGTATGTTAATATATATTTTTAATTCTGAACAAATTCTTTATTTTATTAAATTTAACGCTATGATTAACATTTTACTATAGTTCCAGTGTTCATCATCTTGTGGTCAAGGTTATCGAAGAAGGCCAGTAAATTGCGTAAACACTGTAACTGGTAAATCAGTCTCAGAGCTGTTGTGTAAAACTAAAAATAGACCAAAACACACTCAAGTTTGTATTGCACCAATGTGCGTTACTTGGTATGCGGGAGCATGGAAAGGATGTTCAACTGAATGTGGCCAAGTGTGTATATTAATTTTCTTACTTTTTAAAAGTTAATAAAATTATTTGCTGATTCTCAGGGTTTTGAAGAACGTGATGTTACTTGTGTGTCATCTGTAAGTGGTCAGTTAGTAGATGAGACACATTGTGCTGTACAGATGGAAAAACCAGAATCCCGAAGGTCTTGCGAAAGTCATAAAAGATGTAAGCCGGTTGCCAAATGGAAAATCGAAAAATGGGGAGATGTATGATTATAATACTAAAAATCAATATTCGAATAATTTGATAATTCATTTCAGTGTTCTGCATTTTGTGGGAAAGGTATACAAGAGAGAAATGTGGTATGTCAGTCTATAAGAGGCAATGATGAAGATGAAGAATTGTGTCCTGAACCGAAACCAGAAACATTTACACCATGTAATAATCGTCCATGTGAATCTAAACAAATTTCAATTAATTCTTGGAATTATGGCGAATGGTCCAAGGTATATATGCAAATGCTAAAATTTGTTATTTAATTTTTTCTTATTAAACCGTTACTTTTTAATTATTTATTGCGTATTGAAATATATTTTATTTATTAATTCACGTAAGCACACACACACAAAAAAAGGTTAACTAATAACATCACTTAATGGACACAATACTAATAACAAAATTAACACTCAACTCCTGTTTTATCATATTTTATTTGTGGTATTGCATTATTTTTAAACATTAAAAAAACATTTTATTAAAATATTTCTTCTTTACCTGTAATTTTTAATCTAAATTCATCTTCATACTTGATTGCTAATAAGTGTATATTCTGAACTGAATATTGATTTTTTAGCATTAAGTCTTTTGCTACATAAATATAACACAATTAATCCAAACTTCCATGTAATGTTCCTAGTATAATTTAAACATATATAAACACAAAGTTTAGGAATAAAATAATACGTAGTCGATTTCATATTATTCTTTTAGATTGAAATTTTTTCTTATCATTAGTTTAAAAAATAAATGTATTTTAATATTTTAAATGTTAATATTATAAATTTTATATAAAAAATAAAATAAAGTTCATATTTTAGATTTCATAAAATTTTAAACAAATTGAATGTACGATTAGTTCATCAAGATTTTAAATTAATAAATTATTTTTGATTATAAGTATAAATTTATTAAATTTGTTTCTTCAATAATAATTGTGTTATAGTTAAAACATTTAAGAGAAAAAGAACAACGATCAAAAAAAAAATAATTACCTAGTTAATTTTGAAACAGAAGATGAGACACGAGTACGTTATCACAACGAACGGGAGTTTTTAGTATAGAAATAAAAAATGAGTTAAGGATAAAATGTTTATATTTTTGTTTTTATTTGTTATATTTTGTTAATAAAATTTTTCATTTGCGACAATCCATTATTTGTTCTTTTCTATATTCTGGTAAATCATGAAGTTAAAGTAAGTAGAAAGAAATATAAGATAAAAATTTTATCTTTAATATATGCCTAGGTTTTACTTTTGAAAAAGTATTGTCATGATGATTTTAAAGTGGATTAATTTTTTTTGCATTATTTATTTATTTGTAACAAAATATTGCGCTTACAATTTTTTATTTAACAGCTTATTTTTATATTATTTGCTTTTCATAATTTTAAGTAACATATGAATATATTGCTAAGTATTTATTCGTTTACTCATTTCTAAACTAACCATTTAAATAATATAAATATACGATACAAAAATAAAAGTTTATATAAGTGTGAATTAAAATTAGGGATATAAACTATAATTTATTCCTAAATGTAAATGACTATCTTTATTTTTATTGCTGAAAGGTAGTTTACTTGTTGGACTATTAAAATCAAATAATCTAATTTTTCGCTAAAGTTGTATGAATTAGCTTTTAATTTATTGTATCTAATTAATTTCTATTTTTAGTGTAACGTTACATGTGGCAATGGTTATCAAAATCGACAGGTTAAATGTCAAAATAATGAAGGAGTTTTATTACCGGCTAATCAGTGTAATGGGCTAAAGAAACCAGAAATCACTCAGTCCTGTCGAACTTCAGTAATATGTCCTAAATCATCAGTTATTTCAGTGTCAGGAGTACAATACAAATGGTGGGCATCGCGATGGTCACCTTGCTCGGCTACTTGTGGCCAAGGTATGCAAAATCGACAAGTTAGCTGTCGGTATTTACATAGAGATGGATGGAAGTATGCCTCGAGTGAAATTCTATGTGAAGGCTCTGGTAAACAACCAGCTACACAGAAGTTATGCAATCTTCGTGCCTGTCTGACTCCAACTGAATATACTTGGAAGCCTGATCATTGGCGAGAGTGTTCACATGTATGTGGCAAAAAAGGTCGGCAGACCCGTCGAGTGTACTGTGTTAATAAAGCAATGAAAAAAGTACGAAGGAAAAACTGTGACTGGAGTATTCGCCCCCCTAGGAAACAGAAGTGTAATCAAAAAAAGTGTACTGGTTACACATCATGTGCCGATGTCTTACGAAAATTTCCTCATTCAATTGATAAAGAGTATATACTCACTATACTTGGTCGTAACATATCAATTTATTGTCATTCAATGAGTACCAGAGTACCCACTGAGTATATTACATTGCTTAAAGATAGCGAAAATTATTCTGAAATGTATGATAAAAGGTAAAATAAACTATTAACATTAAATAATTGAGTTGTAATGTAAAAAAGAAATATATATTTAAAAAAATGTGTTTTTTAATAATTTCACTCAAACATAATTTTTACAGACTTAAAGATCCTACAACTTGTCCTTTTAATGGTGAAAGACAAGATATTTGCCCATGCCAAGATATGCCTTATATTTCTTCTGGTTTGACTAAATTCTATAAAATACGATTCAACGTAACCTCGCTTACGATAGAATGTATGTATTAATATCAACATTTTTTTCTTAAATTTATTTGATTAAAATTTTTATTACATTTCAGCCAGAGATTTCACATTTGCTAAACAAATACATGGTAGATTTGTACCATATGGTGAAGCTGGTGATTGCTATAGCAAATTTAAAAGTGGGTGCCCCCAAGGAAAATTTAGTATAGACTTGAATGGGACAGGTATGAAAATTTCCCAAAATGTTATGTGGATTAAAAGGGGGCTTGACACCTCGTCAAGGGTGAACAAAAATGAAGTTAGTATATATTTTGATATTAATTTAGGTAAAAATATTTAATTTATTTATTTTTAGGATAACACGAAAATTACTGGAAGGTGTGGTGGTTATTGTGGATCGTGTGCTCCAGACCAGAGCTTAAAATTGGACGTAGTTACATCAAATTAAATCGATTAAGTTAATCTCTGGTTAGTTTATATCTCAGAGTCATATATATATATATATATATATACAGTATACAAGTAACATAATATTTATGTATCAATGTATACTTCATTAAGTAAACAACTACTTACACATAGTGGTCAGAGTTGAAACAGTTACCATTGTTACACGGCCACTGATGGACTGAAAATAATCCCAAATTTAGAAATAATTTTTATACTTAAAATTAAGTAGCTTATTCATATTCAACAAATTTGTGACTACAGCGTAGTGTCATAAAATGTTGTTACTATACAATTTTGATATTTAATATATGGAATAAAATAATATTGATTTCGCCCAAGAAATGAAATAAGATGAGCTTACAGCAAATTGTAAATGATGATGTCTCTTAATCTAAGTGTTGTAAGGTTAAAAATAAAAATGTTATTACAATATATAAATCGAATTTATAGACCTCTCTATAATAAATAAATTTTCAATTTAATAGTATCACTAAATATTACATTTTGACTGATTTGTATTAATATTATGAAAAATATTATTTATGTAACTGTTTAAATTACAAAATAGAAGTAAACAGACTCTCAAAAATAAATAACATGATTAAAATTATTTCTTGATATAAGCAACCTTTAAAATATTAATATCAGTTTGTAAAATTTTTAAAAAGTATTTCAAATTTTGGAACTAATTGGAATGATAAAATAAGTCTTCAACGATTTATATAACTATCCTATTCTATTTTCTTTGAATTTAATTTACAAAAATTAGTTAATATTTAAATTCTTTGTACTTGACTATGATGCTGTTTAATGCCAATTTTGTGTGTTCATTTATATTAAGTTTTTTTGTTGTAAATTTTCCTTATATATTATAATACTATAAATGTTTTAAAATAAGTTCTTCGTGCATTGCATGCTCTTCGATTCTCCTTAAGTTAATTTATTATTATGTAATTAAAAGTCCAATGACAGTATTAAAAATGAGATTTTAATCTGATTTGAATAAAGACTTATTTTTATTTTATGATCTCTAGTCATAATAATTCAAGATTCTATAGGTAACGCAACTAGTATACATTGAATATATTAATTATATTTATGTTTATTTATTATATTTGCATATTTACTAGTAGCATTTTATACATCCTCTTAATTTTTAATTTATAAAAATAATACGTAATATTTAGAAGTTTAAGTTATGTTTTATTGATTATTGATTTATTTCCACACAAAATTTTTAAACCCTTTAAGATTTTTTCAACGGATTCTACTTTTTACATTGTAAAATTTTTAAATAACTGTATTATTTTATAAAAGATTGTTTATTGTTATTTTATAATTACTTATTTATTAGTTAATAAAATTGTTTAATATTGTGTATTCTTCAAATTTTTCATCAACTTACTTTTATAATATCATAATAAACCTATTGCTTAATAAAAAAAAGTACTAAAAATATTATAATTTTAAGTTTTATAATGTATCCTTTTGTGAATCAAATCTACCAAAAAACCTTACTAATTTAAATAAATATAGACTTATAAATTATGAATGTAAAAAAAAGTTTTTCTTTTCAAATAATTTATTAATTATAAAAAACATATTATGTTAAATACTTAAAATTAAATCACCATTGAATTAAATTATCTTTTTGAGAACAAGTCACAGATTGCGAAAATGAAAATATAATTTTCATATACTCTATGAATAAGTAATAATGTAGGAATATAAAAAATCGTAGTGGTTTAATGTCTGAAAATACTTAATTTCTGAGAATGTTTCTTTTTTAAGTTAGATTAGAACATTGAAATGCGAGAAGTTTTATATATTCTCCTCTATTATATTTCCCTTGATTTATGTCTATTAATTGACGTTCACTTTTCTTTGTAAATTAATTACTTTTAGTTGACACTGTTTCGTAAGAGGCAGCAGACCGTAAAGCAGCTAATTGTGCACCATACTAGAAAGTCGTATTACCTTAAGCCTGTTTAAATCACTATTATTAAAGCGGGAGAGAGGGGTTACCTGGGAGGATGTCGGGTAACCACACATCCAATAAATGACGAAAGTAGACAATAGTTAAATAACAAATCTTCTTCTTCTTCCTCGCCTTAATCCCAACTACTTAGGGTCAACCACCCTTGTCCTAAACTTCCACTTGACACGATCTCCCACATCTTTTACGCTCACATCAGCTGTTCTCATATCGCATTCAATAACATCTCCCCAACTCTTTTTTGCTCTTCCTCTAACTCTTTTTCCTTCAACATTCATTTCTACAACTGTTCTTATGGCTTCCGATTCTTCTCTTCTCATAACATGACCAAACCATCTAAGTCTATTTTCTCTCATCTTATCCACGATTGACGTTACACCTGTACTCCCTCTTATATGCTCATTTCTTATCCTATCTTGTCTAATCATTCCATTCATCCATCTAAGCATTCTCATCTCTGCTACACTCATTCTTTGCTCTACTTGCTTATCAACCACCCAACACTCTGAATCATACATTATAGCTGATCTCACTACAGTCTTGTAGAATTTACCTTTTAGCCTCATTGAAATTCTTTTATCGCATAAGACACCAAACGCTTCTCTCCAATTCAACCACCCACACTTAATCCTGGTCTTATATCCTCGTCAATATCATCGCTCTTTTGCACAACTGATCCTAAATACTTAAAACTTTCCACCTCTCCAATCACGTCCTCGCTTATTGTCACTGGTTTCCTTACAAAATTACTGGAAGGTGTGGCGGTTATTGTGGATCGTGTGCTCCAGACCAGAGCTTAAAATTGGACGTAGTTATATCAAACTGAATCGTTTAAGTTAATCTCTGGTTAATTCATGTCTCAGAGTCATATATATATACAGTATACAAGTAACATAATATTTATGTATCAATGTATACTTCATTAAATAAACAACTACTTACACATAGTGGTCAGAGTTGAAACAGTTACCATTGTTACCCGGCCACTGATGGACTGAAAATAATCCCAAATTTTGAAATAATTTTTATACTTAAAATTAGAGAGCCCTCACCTATTTTCCTTGATTTCTCTCCTTCTACAGGGAAAATAGTTAAATAACAAATAACTTTATATATTAAAGATTCTTCAATGAATGTCTTAACATTTAAGGGTTAACGGGGAGTTCTTAAATACTAATATCTGACAATGTATCATAAAACAAATAGTTAAAAAAATCAATTAAAACCAAAAAATAAATAACATTAAAAAATAATACAAAATTCAATTGAATAAATGAATTTGTTGATAATGGTGAGTGAAATGTATGAAATTTTGTGGAGATTTTTTATATCGTTTATTTATGTTTTTCTTTTCGGTTTTTCAGTTAATCTTATAAAAATTGATATTACTCAAGGTGTGTCACGACCTCCCCTCCAACGAACGACAATTGTGTTACCTATATAAATTAATAAATACTAACTCAGTATGTGTAAAATTAATTTTAATAAAAAATTTCAATTAAAATAAATATATACGTGTTTTAAAATTGTGAAAGGTGGGTATTAGAGTGGTCCTTAGTTATAGATTATGAAAAATTTCTTTTAGAAATTCCTTGGTCTCAACCCCCCAAATTTGTTTATACACATGTAAAAACGAACCAAAAAAAATTTCACGTCAATCAGACAAGTTTAACCCGTGCCTACTCGGGGTTGAAAATTGGACAATAGGGGTAGTTTTCTAGTGTTTTGTACTTAATTCGGAAATGAGCGATCATAGAAAAAAAATTATAGAATATAAATTGTTGAAAATGTTATGGACTATAAGTTTAATTCTTACACAATTTTTAAACTCATTAGCTTTCGAGCAAAATTTTAAATTATACTATAGTTGAAAAAATATTACTGATGTTACAAATGTAAAAATTATGCTAATTGTTTTTTTCAGTTTCAAAATTCTTTACATCATAATAAAGTTGATTTTTTCCTGTCGGGATACTTATTTTTATAATCCTTGACAAATTGTAATAAATACTGTTTTTGATTTTCATCATTGGTTAAAATCCTGTTGTACTCTGTTTTAAACTGTACAGTGTAAAAAAAATATTGATTAATTCAATACATCAAACAGTTATAACTACATTTATGTAATATAAACTGTGTACTGGGGTGACTGATTATAATATATACAAAAATAAATCATAAAAAGAGTATAAAATAAATTGTAATTTCGACAAATCGATAAAATATAGTATAGTTTTAAATTTTGCTCAAAAACTAATGAGTTTAAAAAAAATGTGTAAGAATTAAACTTATAGTTCATAACATTGTCAACAATTTATATTCTATTTTTTTTCTATGATCGCTCATTTCCGAATTATGTACAAAACTCTAGCAATCTACCCCTATTGTCCAATTTTCAACCCCGAGTAGGCACGGGTTAAACTTGTCTGATTGACGTGAAATTTTTTTTGGTTCGTTTTTACATGTATATAAACAAATTTGGGGGGTGAGACCAAGGAATTTCCTAAGTCGAAAAATAAGGATCACCCTAGTGGGTATAATAACAAAAGAATATTATCAGTAGGTTTTTTTTGTTTTTCATAATTAAGTACTTCAATTTTATCTATTTGTGCATGTGATTTACGGTGAACAATTCCAGCAAGATACAAAGGGGCCAATTGGAGTCGTCGAACAAATGCTGCTACAAACATGAGAAACAGAAGAGCACAAGGAATAGACGAACAAATCTAATCCGATAATACAAATGTGCGTGTAAATATGGCGCAATTGTGCGAATCTCAATCACAATAGACACGAGCTGAACGCAATGAACAACGATGATTGGAGCAAAGACAAGTGCGCCGGTTCGTCGTGAACACACGCAGAGCAAAAGACCGACAACGCCAACAAGTGCATTGTGCATTGATTTGTTCTTATGACTGTCGCTGATTATGAGCCGGATATTGATTGAATATTACGCTCATTCGAAAGTGACGATTGGTGCTATGGACAAGGAATGTAGACATTGTTATATGCTTAAATTCAAAAATGAGTCAGTCGGGATGTGTTTTTTTGAAAACACTGATCCCAAAAGAAGTTTTAAATTATAGACAACAAGATTTAATTAGTAAGCTTTATTCATATTTTTCGATAAAGATATAATGACAATAAACGCTACGTTTCTATCGATAGAAACATGGTAAAAAAAAAAATAGCTATAACCCCTCGTATATTATACATGTATTCCATTAAAAAAATTTATTACAAACGAATAAAGTTTAATTAAAATTTAAAAAAAAACCATTTACTGTTTAAAAAAACTTAAATATTTTATTAAATTCAAGATATGTTCCTATTTGAAAAAAAAATTGACACGCCTAATAAATAGCTCATATTTTGAGAACAATATAAAATTAAATAAAAATACAAATCAAAATTGTTTTTATTCTACTAGTAATTGAGTTAGTTATGATAAAAGAACCATTCTATATATCACCATTGGAAAACTGTTTAAGTAAACTGTTATTAAGTCTATATAAAATGTTTTATAAACATTTATAATACATTTTTTCTATTCTTGTTGGAAACAATTAATCAAAAAAAATTATGTTCTTATACATTTTTTCATCCATTCAAACGGTTTTATTACAATATTGTTTACTCAATATTGATCGTACAACATTGTACCAGTTTTGTTAAGTTTTTTTTATCCCTGAAGTGTCGAAAAGAAAAATAATTCAACTACATTTTATTGTAGAGTTCTTATAAAAAATATTAGCCTTTACAAAATAAAAATAAAAATGTTCAATAGATTCCAAAGAAATGCGTGTCTTGTCTTTAATGAATAACTCTTTATATGTCATTTGAGAAATAATACGTGTAATGGATTAGTATTAGTATTGAAATCTAGTAGATATAATAGAACGTTTTCTTTATATTTTTAAGCTGGCCAAAATAACTAAATAACAATAAACACTTTGCTGGGTTTTTTTAATTAATTTGGACTTTGAATATTTTTCAATTTAAAAACACTTAGTCTTTTTTCTATTTATTTTTGGACTATATGACGTGTAGTGTAAATCGTATACGTAGTGCATTTAATAACAGAATAAACATTGTATTACTTTAAATATTATTAAATTAATTTAACCGTAAGGTAAGTACAATTTAACCTATAATTTCGAACCTCTAACAATCTATTGCGTAATATACTGTTATTAAATTAATAAAAAATTATAATAAACCATTAATAAAAAAATTAACTAAAAATATTTAACTTCCCTACCCAACCCCACCAAGGCTGATCTTATTATTTCTTATATTTTCTTTTATTGTCCCCCTTTTATACCTTTACATTTTATTTTTATTTTTGGTTTATTATAACAGTATGGGCTTTATTAAAAATTTTGATCTCCGAGTTTAAATATGAATTTGTAACTCTATCATGGTACATTGAAAACACATTGTATTAAAAAAAAATAATGTTTATAAAATGCTTAAATTAAAAAAAATAATGATACCTGTGTTTTAAATTATATTATTTTTAATATTAAATAATAACTAATAAAAGAACAATATTTTAAAATTTTTATTTGAATTGTTATCGAATAATTTGTTGCGCATATTACGCAAAACGTAAAAATCTTCGAATAGTATTCAAACGTCCTGGACGACGACGATTAACATGAAGATTTAGTGTATGATCTTGATTTGTTCCAGAGTAAGAGTTATATTGGGGTGGACTTAATTGCATTCTTACTTCAAAGGGAATAACTGAAAGAAATTACATTTAATATTAATTTTACTAATGTTTATTTAAATGTTTACTTAGTTAATCGTAAGAAGTAATTATAAATTAAATTTTTTATATAGGAAAGTGTTACGCAAAAATGGATATTAACCTATAGGTTAAAGTGCATCACATTTGATAGAGCTAGCAAATGTATTACAAATTTGGTTGATTAAAGAACACTAAAAACTGTTGAGGGTCCTAAAATTTTAATACTTATGAAGTAATTATAGGTAAACTTTTTAATTCTCAATTGTTCAAGACATATTTTCAATTTAAAGGTATTTGAATAAGTAGCAGAAAAGTTTTTTCAATTTTAAATGTTATGTCAATGTTAGATAAAATGTGTCTTATGAAATACTTACAATAATTTTCAAATCTAGTAATTAAATCACCACATTTTGGACATTTTGTTGTTCCTTCTTTAAACTCTTTATTTAAATTATATGCACATGCATATCCAAGTCTATGATTGCAAGGTTTTAGAGTTAACTGAGATATTTCGTTGCCACAACAACAATCAAGATCAGCATCTGAATAATAAAAAAATTAATTTCTTTTGTCGTTTTCATTTATAATTTACGCGATAAAAGTGTATATTTTTGTTTTTGATTAATATCTCTTTTTTAGCTTCGATGCGAAGCTGAGAAGGTATTTAATATTAAAAATACATCAAAATTGCCCTATCACCAAATATGATTCAAAATATACAGATGATCAAAATCTGGTATAACACAAATTTTTTTATAATAATTGAAAATTTTCAATGTTTGTAAAGAAAAATTTATTCGATTCAAAAAACTTTACAATAACACTTTGTAAGAAAAAAATGTTTTCGTCGTATATTATATATTATGTAGTATATTTTATCGTAAGAATTAGTTTATGTTACAGAGAAAAAAATGAAAATTACTATATTTAAAAATAGTTAATTGAAATATTTATTAATTAAAATATATTTTATAATGAAAAAATTAGAATATTATTATACAAAAAAAATTAGAATATTATTATACAAAAAAAATTAAATTAAATTAAAAGATTAACCAAAACATATTTCACATAAAATCTGGGTTGTAAAAAAACATTTTGTTTAAATAAAACAAAATAAATGATTTTATGTTTTATTAAAAACAGTACTGATATTACAAACTGATTAATAAAAGCATTTTTTATTTTAAGTTTTTAATTTTGAAAATAACTTACCAAAACCATTTGTATCACCTGAAAAATATTACACTGATAGATATTTAATATAATTTTTTGGGAACTAGAATGAGAATGTTAGTTAATTTGTTAGTCATTTTCTAAGTAATATTAATGAGTCAAAATAAAAAATAATTATTAGTTCTTGTGACATTAATTTTGTTTAATAATCAATAAATTTAGTTTTCATAGTTTTATTCAAAAGCAATATTTAGAGTTAAATAAGTGCTCGAAACCAGTACAAAAAAAAAAATTCATCATTTTTGGTTACCAGCTAAGATAGAACGTAACCAGTTTAATTAAAAAAAAAAACCTATCACCTTTTATTCAATTTCTCATAAAACAAAATTCATCTTGTATTAGCTTTAGTTTATTAATTAGTTATATTATAATATGTCAGTTAAGTAGTATATTGTTTAATATTAATTCTAAATTTGTTTTATATGCCTAAGTAATTTTAATCTGTATTCTATGACTGGTTGACGTTTATAATTCATAAATAATACAAAAGGCTGGGTACATTATTTGGATCGTAGCAAGAATATTTTTTTTAGTCCTTGTAATTTGAGCACTCTCAAGTTTAAAAAACTATTTGCACCAATTATTTCTAAACTAATTGATAAAAATATTTTTAATTTGTCCAAACCCATATACTTGACCTAAAGACGCTAAGAGATTATATAATCAATTCTTTTAACTTTATATAAAGTCAAATAATTCAATAGACACTACATATCTGTTAGGGGTCATCAAAATATATTAATTTTTAAAAACTTTTTATAAATTTAAAATTTAATCTTAAGTTAATGCATACTTGGGAATTGATATCCTATTATTGGTTCTCTACAAAGTGGACATTTAAAAATTTTTGGATTTGTAGAATTGTCATTAGCACAATTTAATCCAATCTGATGATTACAAGGAAGCATTGAAACCTCCAGTGGCTCTTCTAGACAAATGCAACAATGGTCACCTACTTCAGAATTACCATTATATAAATCTGAAACATTATCAATATTTAGTTTTAATAAATAGAGTCAATTTTGTATATCAATCAGAGACTGTAAAAGTTTTATGAATCATATTTTAAAATGAATTTAATTTTAAAATCTACTCATTATTGTCGTATTTTAAACTTAACTGCAAATTTTAATCTATAGAAGTTTCAGTTTAAAACTATACAAAAATGTATACCTACATAAGTAATTATAGTTTCAAAATTATACTACTAACAGTGAATAACATACATATTAAACCTGTAAGTTTGAAACAAATGAAATGTATAAAAAAAATCAGAGAATTATCAAAATCGTTTTTTCTAAATCTAATTTATACTACTTTTTGGAAAAAAATCTTACGAGAATCATTTTCGAATGCGATAATATTTATAATTATTAAAAAAAAAATTTTCGACAAAATGATAATTGAATCCAGGCGTAGCGATGTAATTTTTTTAGGAGGGCAACTAGGTCCATTTTGCCGACTGACTATTAAAAATAAAAAACGTATAAAAAACAAATNGGCATAGCGATGTAATTTTTTTAGGAGGGCAACTAGGTCCATTTTGCCGACTGACTATTAAAAATAAAAAACGTATAAAAAACAAATAAAGTTATAGATACAAAAATTTAATTAATTCAAATTCTTCTTTCTTTTAAGTTTGACCATTTTTTAGCAATAAAATCTAATTTTATGTCATCCAATATGTCTCTTTCGGTAGAAAGTAATAGCAAATCGCTTAAACGGGAGTCAATTTGAGTTCTCCTTAAGTAATTTTATACCAACTTTAATTTGTCAAATGAACGCTCATTTCCAGCTACAGTTACTGGGGCTGTACACAATAAACGAGACATTCTATTAGCTATGGGAAGCATTTTTTTTGATAGTTCTGAAAATACAACTACATCTGAAACAGTTTTTACTTCTTTACATTGGTCGTAAAGTACTTCTAACTCAACCTGTAAATGTAACGAATCTACAACAAATTGTTTGGGTAAAAATTTCATTGCATCTTGATTTCCAGTTTTAGTTACGTTGTTCCTTGATAATGGGGGGTTGAACAGATTATATAATGGTTTAATTGTACCAATGCAACTTTCCAAATAATTTTTCATCAGTGACGTGAGCTCATCCAACACAGATTTATATTCTTTCCTATAAAATATTTTAAATGACATATTAGCTGCATTATCTCTATTATTATCAAGGCGCTTAGGTACAAGTCGGCGTCTATGATGAACTGTAAACTCTTTTTCAGCATCCACATCAAAAGATTTCAAAAACTCAATTGAAATATTTATAAGGTTATCCATACCATCTACATCAGAATTAATAATATTTAATGATTCTAGAGTACTTGACATGAATATGATTGAATCAGCTATGTTAAGTTCAGTTGATTCGAGGCACTCAGTTAACAACTTCATCTTATACAAAACATTTTTCATAAATAGAATACTTACAACAAAGTCTACAGAAATTAAACGTTTTGATAAAAAATACGCTGCATTTCTGGTGGATTTATCGAATTTGTCCTTGGTATTTGTTATCTCATCTAAAACTTCAATAATTAAATGATATGATAACCAAACAGACTTAATTGCTTCAGCACGTGCTGTCCATCTCGTCTTTGACAAATTTCTGAGTTTCAATGCAGTTTCAATATCAGCTAGTTTGTTCAGTAATGAATAATATCGTTTTGTACCCGAAGAAAAAAATACATAAACTTCTTGCATTACTGAAAACATATCAGATATAATAAGACTAGCTTCACATCCATGTTCAATGAATGTGTTCATTCTATGAGCTTGACATGGAATATAAGGTATTTTTCTACCTAATATCTCAGTTAATTTTTGTTGTGCTCCATTAAATACTCCAGACATTCTGCTGGTGAAATCATATGACTGAAAAACAAGATTATCAGAATCTAACTCATTCTTTTGTAGTTTGTCTAATATGTCATTTGCCTTCCTACGCTAGTCTTATTTAAAACTTCGCGGACTTCTATTAATCTTTCCTCTGCTGTACCTTCATTATTGACGAACCTTACAACTACTGATAGCCTATCTGTATGTGACAAATCAGGCGTAGTATCAGCCATTATAGAAAACTGCCCGGATTCCCTAACTTTTGCTCTAATAGTTTTGTTCACTGATGACGCAAGGATGGTTATGAACTCGTTTTGAGATTGGGGGCTCAAATATGTAAAATGGTATGGCCGATAACAAGAATCATTAAGCCATTTTTTTAACAAGGGACAGTGTCTAGAAAGTAAATACGTAATTTGTGTAAGGTTACCATTTTCATCATCATCTTTTCCTCTGAATGCTAAACCTTGTCTAGCGAGGGTTTTGGTTACATCCAGTAGATACAAAATACTTCTTTGTGAAAATTTTGATTGCTCTCTTCCTGAATTTTTCGCTCACGTACTGTTTTGTCGAGCATAACATCAATGTTATTCGATTTTTTCGTGTAATTGCAATAATCAGTCAATGCAGATTTGTGCGCTTCAGAAATGAAATGTTTCTGTAATTTTCCAATTTTATTTACACCACTGGAGCCTTTCATTTTTTTCCATCCAGTTACACCGATTTCGTTCTAATAATCCCTTACTTTTTTGACGACATCAGGAAATAAACTACAAACAAAACAGCAAGCTGCATCTTTTGCTGTACTATATTCCAGGTGTGGGTATTCAATATACCAAGATGGATTAAAACGACGTGCTTCTCGCTTTGGGTAAATATTTAATTTTGGTTGATGTGGGCCTAGCAAAATTAGGTATTGTTTTTGATTATCTGAAGTTATTTAATTCTGAGTCCTGGATCATGATGAACTTTACTACTCACAGTATCTTTTTCGGTAAAATTTTCTGGAACTGTATCTATTTGTATCATTAAAACATTGCATCTATCCATTAGGGAAGAGGAAGTTTTAAGGATGTGTGTTATAGCATCTTTAACTTTAATTACAAACTTGTAACTATTTACAACTTCATCTTCATGAAGTTTTTGAATTATTGGTTTACACATATCTATATAATCAATTAAATTTTTAAACTGACCAGCACAACCAAAGACGTTTCCTGTTAAATCTGAATATTCTAAATTTGTTTCTGAACTTTGATTAGTGCAATCACAATGAATAAGTTCATTAATGACTTTTAATTCGCTCTCTTTTTGAGTTCCATTGGTTTCCATAAATTCAATTTCAGAAACATGTGCATTGTCACTAGCCTCAATAACAGATATTGATGACTGGACATCGGAGGTTGGACTTAATTTTGAGTTAACCTAACAAAATTATTCATCAGTTAGCTATTTTACAAAATAAACTATACTTGATTTTTAAATGGTTAATGATATTTTAGATTCAGTGGAAAATTGGGACTAGTTTTAGAACTAAACTTAGATTTTAATAACTATAGGTGTGAAGTTATTGTATTAAAATTATTAAATATTATTAATAACCAACATGACAATTTATAATATTTAATCTAATTTTTTTCTAAGCTCATAGTATGAGTTAAGAAATAACTATATTTTAATTGTGACTTTATATACAAACATTTTCCAATAAACTTGATGAAGCCACTTGTAAATTCTTATTAGAAGCTTCAAGTGCAGCTACAAATGGATTTTTAGGAGCCCCTGGTTCCTTAACTCTAATACGTTTTCTATTGTGACAAGCCGTTTCATGTCTGGTCTTAAAATCATTGTCAAATATACTTCCACAACTTTCACTTTTCTACGTTTACCCATATTTAAACTTTGGCTTTAGGCAGTCAGAATGCCTTAAAAGTTCAAATTTATTAATAAATTAAACATTTTTACACTACTATTAAAGACTACAAATATTACATAAATTTGTTTAGAGTAAAATTGATTAATTTACATAAATTTAAAAATTTTTTTAATGTATCATTTACTTAAGTATATATAATTTGGATTGGGGTACATATTTCCGTATATATATTTTCGCATTAAACTTTCCGCAAACTTGATTTCTGCATGACCATTTTTCCGCACGGACATTTTTTATATATATAACAAATATAAAAATAAATTAAAATAAACTCAATTTTTTTATTTTCGAATTACCATGACAACTAGATCATCGCATTTAACAAGGCCGTGTGTGACGATCCGTTTTTGTTATTTATTGGCATTTCGAAATTTTTCGCGTATAAAAATTAAAATTTCTAGTAAATAATGATTGCAGGAATTGTCAGAAACTTCCTTTTTCTCAATGGATATGTCTACTATCACTCGCCATAATGTGATTCTCGCTGATATTGGGAATATCCAAGAATGCGTTCAAAGAAGTGCAAGACTCGAGCGATAACAAATATACTATGTTGAATACTATACTATAGTATGTTATTATATATGTTGAAGATGGTACAGGTATTTGTCGAATTTGGCTCATAATATTTACTTGTGAAGGTCATTCGATAGGGTATTTGCTAAAGTTTTTGGAAGCTTGTACATGCGAAAAAATGTTGATTGAAATGAAAATATAATGAGATTTTAATAGAATTAACGTTTTTTATTTGCGGAAGCTTGTATATGCAGGAAAATGTCCGGATACCTATAATTTGGCATAAATTTAGTTTATAGATTACATTATGTGTATTTTCAATAAGGATTATATTAATGTTTTACTATTAAAATTTAATAATTGCGAACTTAACTTGTATTAATACCTTGGTATTATTTGTCTTATATGATTTATTATGTTTATACTCTTGGCTCTTTTACGTAAATATTTTAATAATTTTTGAAATTTTAAAAATGAACTGGGGTAAGTTTAAGGGGACAAGTTGCCCTCTCAGTCCCCCCTTTAGTTTCACCCCTGATTGAATCAAATGTCATGAGCGTTGACAGGGTACTTAATAGAATGATGTAGCCGACTCAAGTTTTCACTAAAAAGTGGCGTAAAGCCAATTATTTACTTAATTTATTTATTTTTAGTATTCGTTAATTATCTTCTTACTATAATTAAGTATACTTAATAAAAATTTTAGGTAGAACTAATCGAATATTTTTTAAAACCATTCGGTAGCCTATTTGAATAGTTTTTAAAACTATTCGATAGTTTATGCTAAAAATAAACTATTCGGTTGTATAAAAACAATTCGAATACCCATTACTAATAAATACTGACGTTCTGTTAGCGTGGGCAGTTCGTCATCACGAAGGTGACTTCAACTTATATTTGTGGTGGGTCGTCGTCGGACGTGCGGCACTTGCTGGACTTGGTACCGTAGCGTATCGCACGCGGTGTTGGTCAAATATCATAAACATGTAGTATGGCGACGGCTGATAAGGTTGGCACGGGTCGCGGTGCTCCGTGTGACGCGAAGCGACGCGGGATCGCGTCAGCGTTGACATGAAACATTCTGTATAGAAGGTACTATATGATTGTAATTGGTTTACTTCATATTGAAAGAAAATCAGAAGGTCTAAACATAAATAGACTCGCTCTTCATATCCATTCTTTATTCTTAAGAGTTAATAGCTTCCGAAATACTGATTCAAAAATTGTTATCGAGCAGTCATACTCATAGATTCCTTGTTTTTAATCCAATTATACGTGTATGTTTTCATTTAAAAATTTTGATACAGTTTTAAAAAGGGGATAGAAGAAGAAATACAATTTGTTGTGTTAATTAATATGGATAGGGTATTATTAACTTCTGAAAAAAAAAAAAATCTTTTGATGAAAATTAGTGAAAAACAATAACTGGATCACCCTATACACATTTAAGTAGCTTATTATCATCTCCTTAAGAGATGAAGACTATTGTCTTTAATCCAACTATCTATGGTCGGTTCTACCTTACAATGATTTGGCAAGATTTTTACACCGACTATTGACCTGACGCAACTCCATTATGATTGAAGGAACTAACATGGTGACAAAGTGTGTGTCATTGTTTAAGTTCCCACTTGATATTTGTTTGAAAGGACAGCCCCTTTCCTTTTAATATACTTATTGAAGTGAAATCGAAAGCTGCAAAAAATCGCCCTATATATAATTATATTTAACTCTTAAAACTTTTTAAAATATTTTTTTTCTAAAAGGTAAATCATCACCTTTTAGAAAAAAAATGAGGTACTTATTTCTCCTTCCTATTAGACTTTACTGATTGACCGAATGTATACATGTACAGGCATAATTTTGTAAAAAAAGTAAAAAATTATACACTGTAAGAAAAAATCCAAAAATGTATATACACCAATAAAATATTTTTAGTATATGCGTTACTTTTACACTAAATTAGTGTAATTTTGGCTTTAAATACCGAAAATTCGTACACATGTTATTATCACTATTTATCAGGCATTTTCCCTTACATTCTATGCGTTAAAATGTTCCAGCGTATGTGTATGAAAATTGGGATATTTTGTTTTAAAAGTGAACAGTTAAATAGAAAATTTATTAATAATGTTGGATACATAACGGTCGAATGTGCTATCGAGAAATTGTATTGTGATAATTTTTTCTATCGTTGTGCTTAACCGAGTTGTTGTCAGTCTTCTCTCTATGTCTGCATTGCCGCTGCCATCTTAGTGCTTTTTAGCTATAAGCTCTATGGCGCTTGCGAGCCAGCATTTTTATATTCGTTTTGTTGTAAAAGTAAAATATCACCTTTGCGATTGTCGCTCCCTTGTGCGCTCAGTATATCGACGTTGGGTCTAGATATTTTCTGATATACATCACAAAACAGTACAGTTCACAGCATATTGTACACGTTGTTCAACTACTTGCATTTGATTTTAATTGATTCTTTCAATATTCAACATTATTATCAGTCGTTTCAATTAGTCGATAAATATAATACTTGTTCATCTTGCTTTTAATACTTACTCACATGTATAATTTATTATTTGTTTATATCAGCGCCATTGTGGCATTAGTATTAAGTGTCCTCCCTATCCAAATTGGTATATACAAGATTTTATGATTCATGTTTAATACATTTAATTGTTATAATTATATATTGTAAAATTCATTCATACAGTACGTTCACCTTATTCCTTTTCATCGACATAGCCTATCTCAAGACAAAATAAACCACGAACTTTAACGAACCCACCGGATACTGCGTTCATACAAATAAGATATTTATTCTTTAAATACTTTTTTAAATAAATTAAAAAACATTACTTCTAATATTGTTTACATAGTTCTAAAGTATAATAATTATTAAATATAATTGTAATTTTGACGAAAAAATAAAAAATTTAACATTTTTAAGATATAAAATTTTTATTACATTTTATCCAAAATTTCCCTTACATTGTATGCTTGTAGCTTCCACTACACGTATGTGAATATTCGGAATTTCTTTTATAACAGTATAACAAATCAAAAAATGATAATTTTGTAACATAAAAAAAATCAATTTTTTTTCTCAATATTGTATTTATTTTGTGAGTAATTAAATGAATTACCATAAATGGGTTATGAGGTAGGTAAGTTTTTAAAGCTTAAGCTAAGAATATAGTTTTAATATAAGTATTTGAATACATACTCTGATCATTTGATGAACTCGAGGCAGCATCTAAAAGAAAAAAAATGTTATTTTACTTGATAAAATAGTTAGTTTGTCTAATTTTTCTATAATTTTCTACTTTTCAACAGAAACTTTTAGCATCGATGCGAAGCTGAGAAGGTATTAATTTTGTTATGATGTGTTCTGTTTTGTTGTCACTATTTATTAGCTCTCATCGAATCAATTTCATTCAGCAATACGTCAAAAGATAAAAAATCATATTTAGTCGACGATATCGTCAAAAATCAAAAAAAAATTTCTAGTTCCCCTTAAAGTGGGAAAATTCTCAACAAATTATAATTTTTAAAAATGTTAGACCTTCTTCAACTTTTTTACTTAAAGCTGCCACAATTTTTTGAAAATCAGGTGAACAAAAACAAATTAAAGAAATCATATCACTGAAATGAAACATTTTTAAATCCTCCTAGATCAAATTATATACTTTGCTAAAACAAATTTTTGTGAAATATCTGAAATTAGATCTTTTTTATTATATCATTTTTTGAAATTATACTTATAACAATGAACGAGTATTTACATGTAAAAATTAATTTTTAAATATGTTAAAAATAATTTCTATTCAAAATATTATGTTTAACTTAAAAAAAATTTTAAACATTGAAAAAAAATTGTTATTGTTTAAATAAGTATGCAGTCACGAACTTATAATTACTACTAAAATTAAATTTATGAGAAAACCTCAAATTTTCATGAAAATCATTATTTTTTGTATTGATATCGAAATAAATCATTTTAACCTATATTTTATTGGTTACTTTTTTTTACGTATTAGTTATAATCACAAAAAATAGCGGATTTAGAATATATCTAATTGCATATTTGAAATCAGCGCAAAACATGTATGCAGAAAAATATATTTTTACTCTAATGACAAATTCATTATAGATCAGTGAGTTTATTCATAATTAACATAGAATAATTTTACAAAAAATTTGCATCAAATCCTTCAATTTTAATACATTTTTGCCATAGAAGTTACGAATTATACAAATAATTTACAATTTCTCCGTAAAAATGACAAAATTAAATTATTGAAAATCAATTTCATACATATAATAAGTATTTATTACTGTATTATACTTTTATACTATTTATGTATAAATCAAAGTACTACTTATATGGATATAATTAAGGAAATCGGAATTGATGTTACTTTAAATTTGATATTTATCCTCATTATTTGTATATATATAATTATTTCTGTTACATATATCCTAGAGTATATGAGTTTATAAAAATGGATTTTTCAATATTTTTATATTGTTTAGTTTTTAATTAATATTTGATGCAATTAATTAACATTGAATATTATAGATACATGAACATAATTTTAAATTAAATATTATAATAAAAACTGTATACGAAAATACTGTTTACATTTATATATATATATATAAATTTACGTAATAACATATGTCCGACACATTTTTTTTTAATAGTAATTTTGAAATGAAAAACGACGATTAAACAAAAAAAATTGTTATTGTTTACTTGTGATTTGTATACATAAAGAAAAGTTTTCAAGACTAATTTTGTATTTTTAACTTGTGTATTATATTTAATTTAGACTTAAAGAATGCAGTGTGTCCGGAAATTTTTCAAAAATTAATTTAAAAAATGTGTACTTTTTATTTCTATTTTTAAATATTTTACCTCTTCAGATTTAAAAAAAAATATGATATATGAAGGAGACATGTTATCATTAAAAAAAAACCCAGCATTAAAAAAAAAAATTGTTTGTTATTTATAAATAAATTTAATGCTCTACAAGGAATTTACATCAAAGAACAAAATATACTTTTCAAACCCATTTTTTCACCGATTTCAAATCTGCAATTACAGTTTTGCATATGGCGTAAATAATAACAAAATTCTTCTAATTAATATTATTTAATTAAATATTCATATTTGATTATTAGGTTAAGTATAATCAACAATTATATTTTAATAAAAAATAAGTTGAAAAAGTATTTTTAAGTTTATAACTACACCTGTATAAAGGGAAATGGTCTAATTTAAAAAAAAAAGTATGTTGAATAAAAGAATAAAATAAATAGTACTTATCATAAAAAAGTTGTAATGATCTATACAATTTTCAAATAGTTATAGCATTATAAAGTTTAAAATATAAAAAAGAATTTGTTCGGTGAAAACTGAGAAAAAATGGTAACAGACACAAAAAAAAACAAAATAACATATCATAGTAAAATGAATACCTTTTCAGCTTCGCATCGAAGCTAAAATTATATTGATTCATAAAAATAACAATTTGGTTGGACGACGGCTATGAAACGATGGCTTCAGTACTCTTTTGTTTCTTTAATGAACATACAGAAGCGTATTGAGTAGTTTAAAGGATTAATTTTGAATTTTTGCTCGACTTATTTTATGCTCACTCGCATCATTTTTATTATGAATTTTTTTTTTGTCGTATTTTTCTTTGTTTAGACAAAACAGAGAACACGACTGTCACATACTCTGTTACATATTTTAAATAATATTAGCCATAATTGATCAAATCTTAATAGATAAAAGTGAGGTTCTGGGATTATTAGTAATATGTATAACCAAGTATTATGTGTTATGTTATAAAAAACAATATCATTGAAAAGGTTTATTTTTTCATTTAAAATGTGTTAATTCTAAAATTGTCAATTAGACACCATATAATTTATTTTTTTAAATTTCGAAAAAAGATTCAAAATTATTATATATTCTATGGAAAATATCCACAGATTCAATTATTATCTTAAGCTTAGTATTAAGTACAAAAAAGTTATACATTACTCGAATAATTGACCAAATAAAAAACGATAGTGATTAATGGTGATATAAAAATGAGCTAAAATAGTAAAGTAATAAATTATATTTTTTATTGTAAATTTCGATAATTAATACAATTATAAATTAAGTTACTCTCATTTCATACCATATTTTTCATAATTGAAAATCAATTTAAAATTTTACTGTGATTATTAATATTAAAGTAATATGTTGGTTTGGGATTACGTTTATATATAATAGCTATTTAAATTACGTTATGAAACATTGCTTTCAATATAATTTATCACAATACAACCAAAGTATGTAAACATGAATAATAATAATTACGAAAAAAATCTTGCATATAAATAAATTACTATTACAGTTTTGCGTTTTAAAAGTTTTTTTATCATAGTTTTATGCGTTTGAGATGAATGAAATATTTTATTAAGATGTATTTTAATATAGCAAAAAATTAACGAGCAGAAGAGTATGACGTTTATTTGCTTAATCAGAATAAATTGGAATTTATGTGGTACCAAATCAATTATTCTAAAAATATTAATTGAACATAATTTTTTAAGCCTATAGATCTTATTGTAAAATTTAAAAGTTTTAAAATTATTTTTCAATTTCGAATAAAAAATTTAAAAAATGAAAGTCCGTTTTTTTGTGAAAATAATAATTTATATATGCAGGGTGATTTTTTTATCATAATACACTCAATTACTTACAGAATAAACATAATTTTAACATTTTTTTTTTTTGGTTATCTTTAGTTACACTTTATTCTTGAATTATTAACTATTTAAAACTTTTTATGTTCATCCCTTATGCCTTGTAAGAGTGTCAACTTTGTTTTTTTAATCGAGAACTCATATATTGAATTTAATAAAATGTTTGAGTTTTTAATTCAATAGTAAATGACATTTGAATTTTTAATGAAACTTAATTTGTTTATTAGATGTAAACATTTAAAGTTTGAAATGTTTGAGTTAATATACATGTATAATACACAANGAAATGTTTGAGTTAATATACATGTATAATACACAAGGGTTTATAAATACAGGTAGTTAGTTGGATTTTTATGACATCGCTGTCACAGTCACAGATTGTTTATTATCAATTATGACTATCAATAGTTATACTTTTTATATAGTCAGTTAGTGTATTTATGAACTCACCACAATGTGCCTTACTACCATTGATAATACCAATGCTGTTTTCCTGCGTATATTGATGTCATAAAAAACTAATAAGCTACCTGTATTTGTTATCCCTTGTGTATTATGCATGTATATTAACTCAAAAATTTGAAACTTTAAATGTTTACATCTAATAAACAAATTAAGTTTCATTAAAAATTCAAATGCCATTTACTATTGAATTAAAAACTCAAACATTTTATTAAATTCAATATATGAGTTCTCGATTAAAAAAACAAAGTTGACACTCTTACAAGGCATAAGGGATGAACATAAAAGTATTACATAGTTAATAATTCAAGAATAATGTGTAGCTAAACATAACCAAAAAAAAAAAATGTTTAAATATATTTATTCTATAAGTAATTGAGTGGGTAATGATAAAAAAATCACCCTGTATATATATATATATATTTTTTTTTTTATTATTATTTATACATAAGTATATATAAAATAGTGTATAATCTATTTTGTTATAATATATATATATTAGGGCGGATAAAAAAAAATCGATCTTCGAAATATTAATGAGAACCATTTTAACTATATTATATACATTAAAATAGGCATATTAAGAAAATTTGAGATGTTTAAAAAAAATGTTTACTGGTCGCTCAACGAATTTTTAGTATTTTGACCAAAAATACACCGAAAAACAAAAAAAACGGCCTCTCTTAGTGAATTTTTGATCAAATATTATGATTAGTATATCAAAATAGATTGATTTTACTGTCATAAAAAAGAAGTATAAATATTGATAGGATAATTTTGTCATAAAAAAAGAGTAGTGTTATAAAGGCAGGAATGATATGATAATAATTATAACATAATGAAAAGTAAAAGTAGTAGCAAGTGTTAAATATAATTTCGGCGATGGTTTATCATGAATAAAAGAGATAGGGTATGGGGATAAGATAGAATCAATGAGTTAGTTAAATTTGTTTAGCTACAAGGTGAAAATAAAAATAAACGGTGTATGATCATGGATTTTTTTGTTGAAATGA